CTGATCGAGATCAAACGTCCACTGTACCAGCACTGGGCGATCTATGTGGGGGATGGATATGTCATCCACGTGACAGGTAAGGCTGGTGGCGCCTGGGAAGGTGCTGAGTGGGTGCTGGCATTCCCCGGGAGTCCTGTCACCTTCCACGGGCCGGGGATGGATGCTGTGTGTGTAGGTTACCTTTCCAGGAGGAGTCAGAAACCCATCTGAGGTCCTGGAGTGGCCAGAGAGGCTCTGCCTGACTGCACTGTCTCCTCCTTGGCTTATGCAGATGAAGGAGCCTCATCCATTACCCTTAGCAGCTCTTCCATATGCGCCACAAGGGCCAAGGTGAAGAAGGAGCTCCTGATGGAAGTGGTGAAAAATCACAAATGGCATGTCAACAACAAGTATGACCGCTCCCGCACTCCCCGCCCTGTGGAGGAGATCATCCGGCGTGCTGAGCAATGGGTTGGCAAGGAGGTGCCATATGATGTGCTTAACAGAAACTGTGAGCACTTTGTGACAGAGCTCCGATATGGAGAAGCAGTCTCTCACCAGGTGAGTGTCCCGGGGTGAGCCCCTGGTGCCTCCCAGAGCCCCTCCTGGCTGCTGGCTGTGAGCTGGGCACTGGGACACAGCCTGCAGCCTGCATGGGGACAGCCCAGTGCCAGGCGTGGGCTCCAAAGCAGCGCTGCCTCCCCAGAGCCCCTGGGCCTGGAGGGTCCCTGTGCTCTGCCTGCAGCCTGCCAGTGCCCTCTGACTGAGTGCCACCTCCTGGGGGCACAAACCTGCCTGTTACCCCTTCTGATAATGGGGCACATGCCTCTCACTGATTTACTTACCCTCATTATCCCTGTCTTTTCTATATTATCAAGCTAGGGGGTTGTAAATATGAGTGCTCCTTATGTTTCCAGCCTGTGTTTTGCTTTCACTTTTATAGGCCAAGAAAGCTGTAGTTGGTGGTGCTTCAGCCATCGTCGGAACTACTCTTCTTGGTGTTGCTGCTCTTGCTGGGATTGCATTGTCGGGGAGCAAATCCAAGACATAGTGCTACTGATGGCTGTCAGGCAGAGCTCCGAGCAGGGCAGGAGGATCTTCTGGAATCTGCGGTCACTGTTCTCCTCTTGCTACACGTGCCAGCAAGGGTTTCTAGCAAATGTGCCACCCTTCCTGTAAACATAAAATAATCCTTAATTAAATGTCTGAAATCCAAACTACTATTTTCCAGAAATTCTCTTTTATCTATTTGAATATAGTGTTGTTTGAAAGTTTAAAAATTCAGCCTTGCTTCTCCCCACCATCGCAGGAAGGAATAACAAGTTGAGATTGTCACCATTCAAGGTGATTCCCAGCAGCTTTAGCCTGCTTGCCACGTGAGATTTTATTTTATTGTGTGTGATGGTTTTTGTGGTAGTCTGGGAGAAATTGCAAGCAAGTTAGCCATTCCTTCCCCACCCCACACACCTCCCCTGGAGTGCTTTGCTGAGCACTGGGGCAGATTTCTCCTCCTGATTTGATCAGGTAGCTCCTGGAGGCTCATTCTGTGTATCAGTGAAATAAAAAGGACTGCTGAGGGTTCACTGTGTTCTCCAGCTGAGACTCGGAGTGTTTGCTGCCGAGCCACAGAGCGGGCACCGGCACAGAGCGGGCACCGGCACACAGAGCAGCCCAGTCCCGGCACAGCGCGCACCGCTGCCCGCGGCACCGCGCGACGGCTCCGCTTCCCCCGAGGGCAGGAGAGCACCACCAGCTGCAAAACTGCCAAACTCCCCATTCCCCTCCACAAACCATTCCTTGATGTGCCTGGGATATCTGCCAATTCCCTTATAGGGATCATTCACCCTCCAATCATTTCCTCCATCCTCTCCTACTCCCAGCATCTTCACCATGGCAAATAGGAAATTTCACCTAGAAGCCTAAACCCGTAAGAGTGGGAAAGCCCTGGCTGCCAGCTCTGCAAAAGGACAGGCAGGGAATGTGCTGTGTCTTGAAACCTTGGGCAGCTTCTGCTGCCTACACTGAGCAGCTCCTGGGAGCTGGGGAGACAGGAAGGAAGGGCAGGTCTTACAGGCTGGATCCTTCCGTGTTTTACACGGTCATTCTGATTTTGGTGGGATGGTGTTGTGCTCAGTTTTTACCTGCCTACAAAGTGTTCTTTTCCCTGGCTCTTCGGATTATCTTTGGCAGCAGCAGCAGTCCCACAGTGCGGGGAGGTCTGACAGGGAAACCCACCTGTCTTTTTCTCAATCAGCTCCTTCTTCTATTGCTCAATCAAATTTCCCCCTTCACCCCTGTATGTGTGGAGATTGCTGGCCTTGAACCTGAGCAAGCCTGCTAGGCGATTTTTATGCTCTCTTCATACTCTCAGCCCATTCTAGGATTTCACTCCTTGAGCTGCCACAAAACCACTGAGGGGCTTAAAGAATTACAAAGGCAGTCAGGAGACTTTGACCCACGGAGCTGTGGCCATTCTCTCTTCAGTGACCAAATGTTAATCCCAAAGCGTTCATAAGCATTCTAAAGCACCAGATCAATCTTCCCCCAGCCAGGAGGAAGGCAAAGCCAGGGTCCCTGCAGTGCTGGGGGTCAGGGATGTGAAGAATGAGCTGTGCAGCACCTGTGCTTCACCTCCCAATGTCCTGAGCCACACCATTTCCTTGGCACAAAGCTCATGTGTGCATTGCCCTGCAAGAAAACTGTTCAGGTCAAGTGTGCTTTATTGTCCTTTAGCTGCAGGATCTGCCTTGAGTGTTTGGAAGCAGGTCACCTGCATCCCACCTGTGAGACACAGAGCCCTGGGCTGCTTTTCTTACAGGCAGCTGCCTGGCCTGCAGGGACAGCTGAGGGCAGCACAGCTGTGTGTGAGAGGCTGGCTGCTTTTGTCTGCTCTGGACAGCTTGTCCAGGCTTAACCCCAGCCAGCAGCAAAGCACCAGGCAGCCACTGGCACACTCACTCCCTGCCAGCCCCATCAGGGACGGAATTACTAGAGCTGAAGTGAAAATCTTGTGGCTTGAGAAAAAGATGGTTTAGTAGGTAACCAAAAGCTCTGCATTAAAGGAAACCAAAAGAAGGAATTAATTCACTCTTTTTCTAAACATAAGTTTTACAATGTTCAAAATAACCAAGTCAAGCTTTCTGGGTTTTTTTTTGTTGTTTTTGGTTTTGGTGGGTTTTTTTGGTTTTTTTTTTTTTTTTGTTGTTGTTGTTGGTGGTGGTGGTTTTTTTGTTTTTTTTTTTTTGTTGTTTTTGTTCTGCCCTTTATTATTACATCTGAGTGAAGATATTGGCTTTAATACAGGAGAACACATCATAATGAAACTGAAAGTTGTTTTTGAATTCCTGGAAATGGACTTGAAACTTTTTTCATGGGTAAACTCTTTAGGTTATACAGTAACCTAGTTAAGCTTTCTGCTCTCAGAGCTTTCTGTCTGCACACCCTGACAAGGGAGCACTGTGTGAGGGCAGCATATGGACCTCTCACATCTCTGCTTCATCCTTCAATAAAGAGAACTGGCATTATTTTATCTGAGGAATTGTCTTCTTGTTCTTGAGAGCTGCAACAGTTCACGGAATGCAGAGGTTTGCGGATGTACTTGGCATCTCTTTGCAGTCAGGGTGAGGTTGCTCATCATGGGCTGCCTTTCCTTGGAGCCTGGTGGGTGCATTGACAGGATTTGGTGGAACACAGCCCAAACCATAAGGAGGAGCAGCACAATTCATTATTTGCTGTATTTTGAGCCTTTGTAGGAGCTACTGGCAAAGCCCAAGACCTGCATTTGTCATGGAATAGAGTCAAGGCTGTTTTTCTCCCACGACTGGAGAGAAATATCCTTGATTATGGGCAGGGGCACAGGCACAGCCTGTCCCTAAACAGAGGGGCTTTTGTAGACATTTCAAGCACCTGAATGTGGTGCACATCAGAGGATGAAAACCTGGGCTGATTCAGTGCTGGCCAGGGAAGCCTCAGCATCGTGCAACCTGGTCCCCTTGTCTGTGTTTGTGGGTAGGGTTAACATCAATCTAATCCATGAACTTTTTGCTGCAAAGTCTTCTGCCTTTACCCGAGGGCATTTGGGATCTCTCCGCAGCATCCTCTGCCATTTTTATTAGCAACTTACAGACTGGTAGCCAAGGCAGGTTTTAATCATGATCCAGCAGTTGTTGTTCTACAAGAAAAGGTCCAGAGTAGTGAAGGGCGCAGGGTCCTGGCTGTTGCCCATCAGTGGCCTGGAGGATAACTCGGGGATAGTGTCCCCACATTGAGGTGGTGGCCCCATTTCCTCGGCAACAAGATCACGTTTACCACTCCACGGGTGGTTTTGGCACTGCCATGGGGGCGGGGGGGACTTGCCGCTGCACGGGATGGGTGCCAGACACATATCTGCGGGTGCAGAAAGGGCGGTGACCCCAGAACGATAGCGAAATCGCCTCTAAAAACTATTTATAGCGGGAGCAGCGGGCCGGGATCCCGGCCCCGGCAGCAGCGGGCCAGGCGCTGAGGTGAGCGGAGCTCGGGGGCTGCGAGCGGGCGATTCCAGCAGGACGCGGCCCCTCCATCCGCACGGGCCGGAGGTGCCCCAGGGCCCGGGCAGGGCTGGGCCCCGCGGGCAGCCCCGGGCAGCCGCGTCCCGGCAGCGGAGCGGCCCCGAGCCGGCTCCGGCCGAGCGGGGCCGCCGCTCCGGCAGCCGCTGCCCTCGGCGCCGCCGCTGACACCCTCCGTGCCTGCGCTGCCGGCAGCTGCCCCTGCACAGCCCTCGCCTCCCCGCTGCGCTCTGCCCTGCGCTCAGCCAGCCCGGCGGAGCCCGCACGGCCCCACCCAAACACCCCGAGATGGGACAGGACAATTGCAAACCCCGGCCTGGGGACCTGATCGAGATCGACCGGCCTCGTCATCAGCACTGGGCGATCTACATGGGGCATGGATATGTCATCAACTTGACACCTGTAGGTAAGAGTATTGCAGGCTGGCAAGGTGCAGGAGGCTCCTCGGGTGCTCCTGGAGCCCTGTCTCCCTCCATGGGCTGGTGGTGAGCCTTGTGTGTGTAGATGACCTATCCAGGAGCAAAGGAAACCCCTCTGAGGTTTGGAGGTACCAAGGGTTTGCCTGCCTCATCTCCTCCCTCTCATACCCAGATAAGCCGGGCCTAAAGCCGGGAGCCCACACAATGCCAGTATTCATCAGAAAGGTGAAGAAGCAGCGACTGAAGAAGGTGGTGAAAAAACATAAATGGCATGTCAACAACAAGTATGACCATTCATACCCTCCTCTCCCAGTGAAGGAGATCATTCAGCGTGCTGAGAGTTATATTGACAGGGAGTTGAACTATTCTGGGTTTGGTAGCAACTGTGAGTACTTTGTGATAGAGCTTCGATATGGAGAAGGAGTCTCTGAGCAGGTGAGTGTCCTGGGGTGAGCCCCTGGTGCCTCCTTATAGATAGCATAAAATTAAAGCCTTAATAAAACATAAAACCCCAAACTCATAGTGCATAGACTCTTGTTTTTTATATGTATACAGCTTTGTGTGCAACTTCAGCATTGTGGCCTTGCTTCTCCCTGCCATTCCATTAAGAAATACAAAGTCAAGCATATCTTCATTCAAGGTGATCCCCAGCAGCTGTGGCCAGTTTGCCACATCTGCTTTTACTTTTTGTCTATGATTATTTCTGTGGTAGTCTGCTAGCACTTGAAAGCAAGTTTTCCTTTCCTTAGGCCGCCACCTCCCCTCCAATGCTTTGCTGAGGACTGGTGCAGTCCTTCTATCATCCTGCTTCTATCAGCGATGCTCTATTGGCTGTTTCTATGGAAAAAAACCTGATTTTAAGCTTAACTTTCTCACCAAATAAGCTAAATTTCTCACCGAGTGTTTACTGCATGTTTTCCAGCTGAGGGCTGTTATACGTGAAGAAGTGCGCATTCTTGGTATGACAGACGACAAGGATGACCCCAGCCTTGGGGACCTGATCGAGATCAAGCGACCAGCGTACCAGCACTGGGCCCTCTACTTGGGGAAAGGATATGTCATCCATGTGACTGGTGCAGGTAAGGCTGGCGCAGCCTGGCAGGGTGCAGAGGGGGTGTTGGGATGCTCCAGGAGCCTTTTCTGCCTCCATGGGCTGCTCCATGTGGACCCTGTGTGTGTAGATGAGCTTTCCAGGAGCAGTCCAAAAGCCATCTGAGGTTTTGAGGGGGCCAGAGAAGATCTGCCTGCCTGCCTTACCTCCTCCCTGCCTTCCCCAGATGAAGCAGCCTCATCCCCGTCAACCAGCAGTGGGTCAGTAGTTCTCAGAAGAGCCAAGGTGAAGAAGGAGCTCCTGAAGGAGGTGGTGGAAAAGGATGAATGGCGTGTCAACAACAAGTATGACTGCTACCGCACTCCTTTCCCTGTGGAGGAGATCATCCGGCGTGCTGAGCAATGGATTGACAAGGAGCTGCCATATCGTTTGTTCCTCAAGAACTGTGAGCACTTTGTGACAATGCTTCGCTATGGAGATGGAGTCTCTGAGCAGGTGAGTGTCCCGGGGTGAGCCCCTGGTGCCTCCCAGAGCCCCTCCTGGCTGCTGGCTGTGAGCTGGGCACTGGGACACAGCCTGCAGCCTGCATGGGGACAGCCCAGTGCCAGGCGTGGGCTCCAAAGCAGCGCTGCCTCCCCAGAGCCCCTGGGCCTGGAGGGTCCCTGTGCTCTGCCTGCAGCCTGCCAGTGCCCTCTGACTGAGTGCCACCTCCTGGGGGCACAAACCTGCCTGTTACCCCTTCTGATAATGGGGCACATTGACCGGATTCAATTACCCTGATTATCTTTGCCTTTTCTCAGTTATCATATCTGGGGGTAAATATAAGTGCTTATAATGTCTCTAACCTGTGTTTTACTTTCTCTTTACAGGCCAAGACAGCGCTTCAGAATATTAATTCTGTTTCTTCTGCAGTGATGGCTGGGATAGGAGCTGTCAGTCTAATGGCTGTGGCCAGTATTCCTGTGATTGGTCTTCCTCTTGTGGCCGGTGCTCCCTTTGTGGTTGCTGGTAGTGGTAGTCTTCTTGCCTGTATTGGTTTATCTTCCAGCAATGTTGCTCATTCCGTCACCTTTGGCAAATTTGAAAAGGCGGGGAGAGATATACTAGAACGGAGTTGCTGTTAGGAAGAGCTCAAGCAAGGCATGGAGTCCCTGGTCACTGTTTAGCTTTTGCCACAAGTGTAATGAACACTTATTAGCAACTGCTGTGATAATTAATTCAAAGACTTATTAAACTGTAAATATCCAAATTCATCTTGCCTAAAATTGTCTTTTATCTGTTTGAGGATAGCTTTTTGTGCAAGTAATTTCTCTTTAACTACCCTCCTCCACCTGCCTAAGACACTGACTTCTTTCTCAAGTTTTGGTTTTTTTCCCCAGGTCTCCCAAAGCCCGATTTTACAGCAAACCCTTTTCCTGTGTCTCCATCAGCCAGCTGGGCAGCGCTCAGACCCTTCTAGCTCCCTTACTTCTTTTGGAAGAAATGAAGTTGTATCATGGGGCTTTTTTCCAACTCTCAGGGTCCTTACAGTCAATCTATACCCTGACTGTAATTTTACAGCTTTTCAGATCCTTTTCAGCTTGAAGTCCTGTATGGCCTTTCTCCCCTGCTGAGTGATACCAATAAAGATAAAAACCTCTGGTGAGAACCATGTACTGATAAACTGGGGATGCAACAATGACCCAAAACACCAGAATGGTACCAACAAACTGAATCAGGTCCTAAATGATCAGGCCCTAAAAGCAGAAGCTCGGCCTTCCCTGCTCAAAACAGAAAACACAACTCTTACTTCCAGCTGCAGTACTGTGGGTTTAGTGCTGCTGATGGTTTCTGTGTTTAGGTTCTATGTTTAGGGTCTCTCAGAAGAGCAGAAAACCGTTCAAATTCCATAGACAAACATTTTTGCCTTAAGGTATTGCAGAGCTACTTAACTACCCTTCATCTACAGTAGTTTGTTTCTTTTGTTTTATCTGCAGCTACAGTTTTAATACCCAGATTAAGCTGCTGTTGTTTTTACATTACTAATTTGCAACCATGCAGGAGTTGCTGGAGTTGGGGCTATTTGTAAATGTGGGTGTCTGCCTTGGCATTTTTCTCTCGGCCTCATTTACCCTAAATGGTCAGGTGTTCAGAGCAAAACAGAAGCTCGGCCTTCCCTGCTCAAAACAGAAAACACAACTCTTACTTCCAGCTGCAGTACTGTGGGTTTAGTGCTGCTGATGGTTTCTGTGTTTAGGTTCTATGTTTAGGGTCTCTCAGAAGAGCAGAAAACCGTTCAAATTCCATAGACAAACATTTTTGCCTTAAGGTATTGCAGAGCTACTTAACTACCCTTCATCTACAGTAGTTTGTTTCTTTTGTTTTATCTGCAGCTACAGTTTTAATACCCAGATTAAGCTGCTGTTGTTTTTACATTACTAATTTGCAACCATGCAGGAGTTGCTGGAGTTGGGGCTATTTGTAAATGTGGGTGTCTGCCTTGGCATTTTTCTCTCGGCCTCATTTAGTGCTGCTTTCTGTGCCATGCTGGAGAGGGGCAGTGGCTCTGGCTGGGTGAGGGGTGCTGGTACTCCAGATGCAGAGGGGTGCCTGTAAGGGAACTGGTAGAGAAGCAGCTGCAAAGGATGCAAAGTGGGATGACTTGTGGAGAAAGGGAGAGTGGGAAAGATCAGCCTGGAGCAGCACTAGATGGGACAATCACACTTCAAGAAAACACATTATTGATTTGGTTCCAGAAGAAAAAAAAAAAAAAAAAGTGACTCTTACTTGAGTTCTGAAACCCTTCAACAAGGCTGGACTTCTGGCCAGGAGACATCCTGCCAAAGATAGGCACATTCACCATTAACTGCAAGAAAAAGCTGCCTTGGCAGAATTTCTGCTTCCATTGCTCTGTTGAGGCAGTATTAGACCTCCCTGGTAGGCCCTGACACTTGTAAAATGCCCTAATCCCAATTCTCAAACCTTGACATGGTTTTGCTCCCCTTAGGGTTTAGGTGTCCTCTAAGTGAGTATTTATCCTGCAGTTTTCTGCCTCTCCTGTTCTGTCAGATGCTGAGGTGCCAGTGATCACCACATCCTCTGCAGCAGCCTTTAGAGCAGCCAGGCATGGCAAGGCCTTCCCAAGAGCAGAACAGATGGTTGATGGCAGCAGCAATAACCCTGCTCAGCCTGAGATTTCTTCTACCTGAAACTCTGGCTAGACAGTATAAAATTTGAGAATCTGTTCCAGCTCCAGCTTTTTAATGGACTGAGTGATAGGAGCTGAATATCTCTGCTGCTAGAGGTGGTTGTTTCACATTCCTGATGGCCCTGCTGAGCAAGGCCATTGTTGGCTGTGGAGGTGGCACATGAGCATGGGGTTGATGTTTTTAATTAAACTGGAGTTGAGAAGGTGACCATGGGGTAACTCTGCTGTGCAGCTGCTCACAGCAGCACAGCCACCCCTGTCATCGGAGGTGTGACAAGATGCTGGAAGCAAGCTGTTCAGGTTAAACCTGAGGCATGGTGGAAGTTTGCCTGGAGTTGTCAAAATGTGATGCTACAGCTGCTGACAGAAAAACACTTTCTCCCAACAGAACACCACAGACATGATATAAAACAGAGGGACATGTAAGTGCATTGTTTTCTCTGAACCTACTTTTGACAGCAAGCTGTAGAAGTGCTTGACAATTATCTGAGAGGACTTTCCATTCAGTGCAAAGTGGTTTCAGGCTTCTTCTTCCAAGGTGATCTTTACCTCAGTATGAGCATACACCTACTAGAAATAAGACAACATTTAGTTTCAGACTGAGGTCATAACATGCCATTTCACTTCCACCTTGTCAGCCTCCCTCCAGGAAACCGAGGACACAGCCTTCTGCTAGATCCTTTTGCAAAACTTTCACCTGGCAATACTTGATTCTTTGCACATTGTCACAAATACCAGCCTGCTGTTAGCCACAGGCTGCTAGTTCAGACACTGAAATTTGGCCCAGCAAATTGTCACACAGACAAGTACGTATAACTACATAGTTCTGCACACTTCAAGCATGACTGAGGTGGCCACTGCATCTGCAAAGCCGTGCCAGTTATTAATGTAGTAATGTCACAAGTCCTGAGGAAAGAACCACTCTATTAATGATTTCTCCCCAGTGGATGCATTGTCCTTACCACACTTCCATATACCGTGGGGTAGATGTGAACTAACCCCTAGGTTTCCTCTGTTTCTCAGAGCTACTTCTGAATCCCCAGCAAGGAGATAGTTATTGGGCATTAAAAGCATTAAATTTCCCCTGGCACTCAAAAGCAGCCATCCCTGGCTGTGCTTACAGAGGGAGCAGCTGTGTTTGCCTTGCGTTTTTCTGCCAGTTTCCAAGCAACGAAGCTGGAACAGAACCCTCAAGTTTTTCTGCCTCATTGATCCTGACTTTGCTGCCTGTCAGTAGCAAATCACATTACTGAAGCAATTCCTTTAATGCTTTTGTGTTAATGTAAGAATTCTTCTAAATACTAAATTTTCACTTTTCTGATAATTCCTGTGATTCTAAAAGCAAAGAGTTCCTTTTAACTCTGCAGCATTTTTGTGCATATACCTTCTACTATACACTGCAATCACAGCTTTACAGTGCAGTAGCTAATGATTCACTGAGTTGGAATCAATAGAGAAACAATCTAGACTGGATAAGTGGAGATATTGAGAAACCTAGGAAGGTAGAACACTATTTTGAAGACACATTTCTTGCTGCTGTTGGTTTGTTTGGAAGCTTGTGTCATTAGAACTAATGTGGTTCTAAACGAAATCTTTCTATTTCCTGTTAAAACTGTTTTCACAGAATCACGGAATTGTTATGGTTGGAAGGGACTCTAGAGATCATCCAGTCCAACCCCCCTGCCAGGCAGGGTTGCCTGGAGCAGGGGACACAGGAGCCATCCATGAGGGTTGTGAACATCTCCAGAAAAGGAGAACTCCATGACCTCCCTGGACAGCTCTTCCAGTGCTCTGCTGCCCTCAATAAAAAGAAATTCTCCCTCATATTGAGGTGGACCTGTCTGTGTTTTAGTTTATGGCTACTGCTCCTCCTGTCACTGGGCACCACTGAAAAGAGTGTGGCACCTTCCTCTTGACACCCACCTTTGAGATATTTATATTAATTAATGAGATTTCCTCTCACTTTTCCCCAGACTAACCAGGCTCAGCTCCCACAATTTCTCCTCATAAGAGAGATGCTCCAGACCCCAAATCATCTTTAGTAGTACTCAGTGATTAATTCTCATGAGTTCATCTTGATGTGAAGTAACTGAGATGGGAGAACACTCTGGGCTGGGATGGGAGTCCTATGTAGCAATGGCTGTGTGAGCAGAAACAGCCCTATTGGAGAGGAAACAACCCACAGCAGGGATCTCAAATATCCTGTTGATGTGCCCTTGGAGAGGGGCTGTGAGGCTGCAGTGTGGAAAAGGAGTGCATCTGCTTGGGCTGGGGCTGCTCACTCGCAGGGCTGGACAAGCACTGCACTCCCAGTGATCCTGGGAGCAATTTGAAAGCCATGAGGAGCCCCAGCTTCACTTCCAGCTGTAGATTTTACATCTGCACTTTGTGCCAGCACACAGGCACTTTGTCCCTCCCACCTGGGTGTTAAAAATGGGTAAGTTGGTTAGACCCTTTTGACACCATGTCTCAGCATAACTCAAAGATTCATGCCCCAGACTCTTTCTATGAAAGGAACTTCTTTCTGTTTCTTTCTTTTGGCTTTCAGCCCAGCCTTGAGGTTTACTCCCTCCTGGGCATGCAGTTCAGACTGAAGACATGCAAGGCTGGGCTGGGTGAAGACACTGCAATTTCATCACAGAAGTTAATTCCCCCTAAGGAGCTGCTGGCTGACAAGGTGTGTCTGCCAGACCACAATATGGTAAACCACCATTTAGTCTGGCCTGTTAAGGAGCACTTTAAATAGATATATTTATCTTTGATCACCACTAGCATCCCCTCGTGTTACTAGCACAGGCACAGTGAAATTAATCTGGAAGCAAGCAGCTCTATTAAAAAGCACAATGAACCCAGGACCTGTTGTGCCTCTGGGCCATCAAAGCCTCTTCTGTTTCCAGCACATTATACCTTGTTCTCAGCCTGATCATAATTGGCTTATTAATTAATTAATACTTCAGAGACACAGTGAAGCTGCTAAACATCCCATAAAACTAACAAATATTTATATCTTATTAAACATAAAATAGGATATTTGGTAAGTAGAATTAAATTCCTTTACTGCCTCAC